GATCAGAAATAAGAGAAATAACTTGACTGGAACAAGAGAAAAAACAGAGATAAATTACTTATTAGCACATTCAGGCGAAATAAGTTTTGAGTTAATATTGATATGTTGATATAAAGTACCAACTGAGTGACGCGTCCTTGTTTTTTTTTACATTTTTTGTCCAGCCGTTTTCGAGATATCGATTTATAAAAAAACGTTCGATTTTCAAATGCCTATAACTTTGGGGGAAAGTAGGCCGATTGGGACCATTTTTTCAATTCTTCATTTTCAAAACCGTATTTCTATAAAATTTTCAAATTATTAATATCAAATTTTGATTGCCAAAAACATGTACCGATCAATTTTTTTCCAAAAAAACTGTCATTCCGCATATTTTAAGTGTAGTCCAATAATGGGATAACAATGGGATCTATTTTTTTATTTTCAAATGAATGTAAAACTAACAAATTTTGCGAACTCAACGCCAAGAACTCTAGCAGCCAGTTTCATCAGTAATTTAAATTAAAAATTATTTTTTATTTTCTGTCAATATCCATATACAATTTTTCACTTAAATTGCTTTTGTGAAATGAGCTGTAACTGCGTTAAATCGAATGCATTAACTCTCCGTCAAACACATGTTTCGATTAGCACATTCGGTACGCATGAGTCTGACTGGACCCACATGCAAATTGTATACATTTATATAGAAATTATGTGCAACATTTGTTCAGTTAAACTTATTTACTGTATGTTATTCAAATACTTACTTAATTTAAGAGCTTTCTTTTTTTTATTTTATTATTTAAATACACTAACGATCAAAACTGAGTGCATGTTCGACATTTTATTACTTACAGTAACATCACTTTTTTAATAATAAGCCGATTGCTCTGAAATTTTCAGCAATTTGTCCTTATTATCTTAGGTATAAAGCCTAGTATACAGGAAAATTAACAAGTGATTCACAACAAAAACGCAAGGTAACTCTCTTCACTCAGTTTTGAACTTTTCTGTTTTGAGATTTTAGGAGGTATATATCAAGAGGATTGTGGAGACTCCTTTGCTTTTAATAGCTCTCTACTGAGTTTTCTATGATTTCGCTTGGAATATTACCCCATTATAATTTTACTCGCCTCCAAAGCTCTTCCATGTTACTGGAGCTCGCTTGTGCTATGCTAATCCTCTCTTGACCAGAGCGCTCAATTTTTCGATAGCTTTGAGGTCTGGGATTTGTGCTGGCCACCATGTTAGATGTTTTTCTTGGCATGGTGTTTTTGAAGATATTGATAAGGTCTTTCCCAAAAATATGCCTTTTTATCACTTTGCAAACAATTAATTTTCGTACCATCGGACCATATTACCCCCTTTCAGTACAAAAGCTCCTAGTCTCGTGACTTTTACAAAATTTCACTGGCAGCTTAATGGCTTGGGATATTTTACTTGCTGGCATTTGGTGCCATGGGTTAATATAAAAGGTATAATGAACACATATTTGCCGGACATTGTAGACAAAAGCGCAAACCCTGCGGAAGAAGTTGTTTGCCAGCAGGACGGAGATCCAAAGCATTCTAAAAATATTCCACACCGCCGGCTGCTTGAGCAAAATTTTCAGGTAATGGAGTGGGCAGCACAAATCTCAGACCTCAACGCCAACGAAAAATTGAGCGCTGTGGTCAAGAGAGGATTAGCAAAGCACAAGCGAGCTCCAGTAACATGGAAGAGCTTTGGAGGCGAGTAAAATTGTAATGGGGTAATATTCCATTGCATTCCGTTGCATTCCTTCATTTTAGGTAAAAATCATCTCTTGCCATGATAATTCAAAAATTTAAAAGAAAATTTGAGAAACGGTTGCATTCCTTCACTTTAGGTAAAAATTACATAGGAATATATGTGGGTCCAGCCAGACCTATGTGTTACGAATGTGATGTATTAATCAACATGTCTATATATCTAGCTTTATATATATGATATCGACATGATTTTTTACGGATTGGTAGTTCACTAAACTTTAGTAAGCTACCTGAAATTTCAAGTATCTAGCTATATTTAAAGTACCTTTTTTTGTAATTTGAAAATGGAAAAGGCCTGGCTGGGCTCATGTATCAGACGAAGGGTTAATCAAAAATATAAAAATACTAAATTGTAGCGATAAGATATCTGTACATTAATGCAGGTAGTAGTGCTTCGCTATGACTATTCGCTATAGAAGACTAAACCTCGCTTGAAAATATTATCAGAAAAAATCCTCTTTTTAATGTGAACTTTCAATTTAAGTCCTTTTTTTACAAACGGTATTGGAATGAAAAATATTTACTATATAATTTTTAATGATATCTATTATTAGTTTTACTCGGACTAAAGACGACAAAAAGTGAAATTTTCATTTTTTAAAATTCTACCCTTTTTAGTTTTTTCAATATTTTTAAAATTCGATGTAAAAGATAAATCATTAAAGTAAATTTTTAGCATCAGATTATGAAAATCATATGAGTAATGTAAATGTAATAGAGCATTAAGCGATTGGAAGATTTTTAGCCTTTAAAAATCTTTTTTACAGAGTTTCATTTTTCGTGTAAACTAGTGTTATGGTAAAAAGTTTAAACATTTGTAGTAGAAGAGGTTATTTCAATAATCCGCTACTTTTTTGTCTATTTTTCAATACAAATTTTCCAATTACGACATCTAAGCAAATTCAACCGAAATGGCAATGAGCTGCATTAATGCTCAATGACATTTCATACAAAACCAATCGATATTTCTCAATAAGAATTACGGTGCCATCGCATGAATAACAAGTGTGACCGGACATACATATATAAATATGTACATAAATACATACCGCGCGACGTTTTCAAAAGGGGCACATATATGTACATACATATGTATGTATAATGACAAGTCAAGAACCGCAAAAGCAATGGGGCAAGGCCGTGCCGGATACCAAAAAACAAAGAGGAAAAACATGAAAAATAAGGGAATGAGCAAAATAACAGTGCGCAGGACACATGCGAGCAGCAAAAAACTACGACGAGTTAGCAAGTACAAATGAGAGATAGAGAGAGAGTTCAAAAGAGAAACCTTAAGTTCACGTGGTTTTCATTTTAAACGCTTTTATTTTTTTTCACTGTCTAAACACAATTTTACAGCCAAAACATCTGAAGGAAGCACTGTGCAATTCTTATGCGAGAACGATCATTAAGTTTATACAATCAAATAAAAAAGGCCACCAAACACCTGAAAGTAAATTTGCAAAGGTAAGGCCGCTGTGGTGTAGTGGTAATCAGTGCGCGTTTACACCCCGCAGGGCCTGGGTTCAAGCCCTGGCCAAAGCAACATCGCAAAAAAATTTTGAAAAAAGATTTTTTTCTTAACAGTGTATTTCTGCCATGAAAAGTAGCTTCTCATAAAAATACAATCGCCGTTCGGGGTCGGTGTAAAATTGTAGGTCCCTCCCCTTTGTGGTACAACATCAAGGCGCACGCCACAAATCGGAGGAGAAGCTCGGCCAAACACTAACATATGTGTAAGCGCCAATCTATTATTATTATTCAGTTTCAAGCTGCTATGAAATCCCGTTAATTTTTGTATTTTTTTTTTTCGCTGGCAGTGTCCTCCATATAAAAGAAAATTGTCGAGCATACTTTTATATGGAAAACACGTCAAACACCTTCAACCAAAAAACACAATTCTTTTTGTGAGCTGTCTGCAAATGTTTTTTGATGTTGGCTGTTGTCTGTCGCTTCACCTGAACATATGAAAAGAAATTCCAAATAATCGGCAAAGAATCGGCGAAAACGGGCCGATGCCGATGCCGATGCCGATGCTCAATTTTGTGCCGATACTAGCCGATGCCAATGCCGATGCCGATTAATCGGTCGGACTCTATGTTCTATAACATAGAGCATCGCTGTCACAAAGGCATTCAAATCATTTCAATGTTACTCATACGCAGTGTACAACAGTGAGCATTCGTAAAGGATATTAGTTACGTATACGCCATGCACACCCACCATTTGTATGTAGTTATGTTTATACAAATGTAATTGTAAAGCGGCAAAAGCGCCAACATCAACAGAAATATACAACAACAACTATTGCGCTATTACTGTCACTGGCTCCTTTGCCAGAAATACTTATACGTACATATATGAACAAATATATATTTGTTTAAGTAGGTGTATGCATGTGATCCGTCTTCATTTTCGGCTGTCGACATCAGCCACGACACAGGGTGTCTCATAGTGTATGACTTTGATGTGGTGGCGAAGTTCGGCTACCGTTAATCTGCCTCCCAGTGCTCTGCTTAACTCAGCGCTGCTCCATTCAATGGCATTGCCAGTGGCTGTGTGAGCGGCTGCTTATGCTCTGCTCGAAATACTACTGCTCTTTCATATAGTCTGCCACTGGCGTTTTTTTTTTTGCTGCCTCATCGCTGCCACCGCCACTGCCACTGCTGCTGGCTTATGAATCTCATTTTCGTCGCTGCCTTTGTCGTCGCTTCGTCACATAGCCTCTTCGGCAGCGTGAGTATTTTACTTAGTCAAGATACAAATTTCGGCGTATGTAGACGCTCCCAACGGCATTTCAAGCGCAACGCAAGCAAATATACAATTTTTCGTGTGATTTAAACTTTTGCGGATGTTCTTAAGGAACAGTCATCTCGTGCTACTCAAACCACAAACTAGCTAGCGAAAAGTACTGAAATACTGCAAAATTTCAAATATAAATTGAATATTTTAAGACTGCGTAGAAGATAGAGAATATTGAATTTAATAAGCAAGTGAACTTTTTTGACTTCCAAAAATACATTTTTTTTCAAAATAGACTCAAAGCAAAAGCAGGAGAAAAGTAAGGCGATTTTGCACTTGTTAGTGAAACGAATTACGTCAAGAAAAGTGTGAAACGAGCCAAAGTGTATGCGAAATTTTCATTTTCATTTTACGGAAAAGTTCATATTATATATCTATAGTATATATCGACAACAATAACAACAATAAATACACAAAACCTACTTTATACAAAGTTGTTTATTTGCCAAACGGATGTGATTTGCTGTGCTGCCTTTTTTTCGAAAAAAATCTTAGCATTGATTTTTCACAGGCTCACGTGCATATGTGCATATAAATAAGTATTTAAGTAGTTTTCGGCGGAAAATTTTGAGGCAAACATCAATGCGGCAGGTATTATTGAATATTTAATTCGATTTGTAATCTACTCACTACCGAATTGAAAGCGATTTGTGCGCGCATCTTTTGAATCGAGTCAAAACAAAAACAAATTTACTCATCCACAGACAAGCGTCAATCAATAGCAAAACAATCAATAACACAACAACAAACATATGTACGTGCATTACATTATAACTAAGGAAAACGAAAAAAGAACCTAGTTCAACGCGAGCAAAAAATCAGCGCTTCTCGAAGGAACAGTAGAAGAAAAAATAACGATAACAACCACAAAAGCGCACAAAATGCAAGAAAACCTAATATAAAGAAAGCAAGGAATACGCACGTAGCACAGCACTACGCCAAAGTGAAAAAAGTATAAAGAAAACATAAAATTAAAACACGCCACTGACGACGACAGAGAATCACAAATCGCATAGACGACGCCAATACGACGCCGTACATAAATCAATAATAAAAAAAGAGGCAAGGAATTTTTTTTTTTTTGTATAGCAAATCGGCGCCTGACGCACTCCTACTTGCCTCCCTCCTTCCAACCCACCGCCGCGGCGCTAGCGTGCTGTGCGTTTCATTGTTTCATTGAGAACGCATAGAAGGACATCAAAAAAATAAGGTTAGCAATAACAACAACCACAACAACAACAAATATGGCTATGATTGAGGGCATGACAAGCATAGATTTGGGCACAAGTCCCATGCAAGAGACAACAGCCGACATTGCTGAGGCAATGCCGGATGAGCCGATCGAAACGCCAGAGGAAAGGTTAGTAAAATACAAGTATGTACATACATACATACAAACCAGAGTTGTTGCGAATATTCGCATTCGCATTCGCAACTGCGGAGCTTCCGCATTAATTTTAACATTCGCATTCGCAATAATCAATGAGGAGCTTTTGCGAATGCGTAAGTTGTGCAAATGCACCGATAAAACGTACATATTACATGGTAAACAAAATGACAAATTGTAGCCAATATTTTTTTTTAGATTCAAATGCTTATAAAAAAACGGGATGATTTTTTAAAAAATAACAGTATTGTGATCCGATTCGGCTGACAGCCACGACTTTGAAAACAGAACTTTGTTCAAAATTTCCATTCCTGGAAAACAATAATTTATTTTCCATATCCACCTATTTAGCTCGCCAGAAGCACAAATTGTTGAAACCAGTCGCAGAGAAAGTATTAAAAATGATTTACAAAAACTAAATCGGAAAAACGCTGATGAAGTTACAGATTCCCCAAATTCTGAAACAGCTAAAGGAATGAGAATGAAGAATCCTTTTCAAAAAGCTGTTTTTCTAAAGCTAACACATCTGGTTTGGCTTGTAAGTGTTGTTTAAACAACGGTCCCGCCATTATGCTAGATTCTAATTTCTTACAAATACTTGACTTCCGCATCCGCGGATGTTAGCTGTTAGATATTCGCATCCGCATTCGCATCCGCGGATGTCTAAAATGCCACATTCGCAACAGCCCTAATACAAACATACATGAAAGTTAAGGGCGACGATGAGTTAGGAAATGAGTAGCAAATGAAATGAATTATGTCTTGTAGAAATGTATATATATAAAACTCAGTGTGTGAAACATCTATTAATTAATTATACATACTACATATATTGTATGGATGACTAAAAGAAATATGTGTGTATGTGTGGACCAGCTTGCGTGAGTGAGCTCATGAGCAAGAGTAAAGCTCTTAGAGGCGTAATTTTTCTTTTGTTTGTGATTAGCAGGGATGGGCGTACTTATTGATAGGTAAACAAGTAGAAGGATATTATAAAAAGGCGTGTTTTTATGTATGTAAGTGAAGGTTATCCAGCTGTGCGATAATATAATTTGTGCTATGTGTAGGACGGAGTAGTTTTTTTGGCTGTGAAATTCTTAACGAAAGTGAAACGCCATCAACATAAATAATAAATACATCAAAAACAGACACTGCAGACAAAAACCTTCAAACACATTCATACGTAGTACACATGTGCATACATACGTACATACTTATACATACATTTATACAAACTCTTACTTATATATTAAAAAAGCTGGCCATCAAAAATTAATTATTTTGTTGCCTTTATCTGATGAAATAATGAAATAAGTAGGTCTGTGACAGCAGCTCAATTATTCAAAGCCCAATTTGATTCCCAGAAGACTGCCTATCGTCACATTTTTAGCACTTTTAAACCATTAAAAAACCTTAAACAAACTTTCTTCTCTCACACTTATTGTAAGATACCAAAAGCCCTACAAGTAAAGCAGAGTTTCATGCAGTGATTGCATCATTTTTACAACTGTTGTGCATATTCTTGTGCGGCTGTACTATTAGGCAGGATGTACATATGTACATACTTAGTCAGCTAGAATTTGAGTATTTTCTTTTGGAGTAAAGTTTCGCACTCTATGTGACATTTCGAGCCCTAACCGCCAACAAACAAAAATTTCACTGCTTTTGGTAGCGTTAGAGGTAGCTTAGAGGACGCTGTAGTCATCTGCAGACGAAAACAACTGACTGACCGTGGCCGGTTGCTTACTTCATCTGTGAACCATCAGTTTAGATGGATAAAGATAGTACATACATTATTATCGGGTCGTAAATCTTGTACTCAAGCCCCAAACTGGTGCAATGTAGTCAATGCTGACTTCTAAATTAACTGTGATTTCATTGAGCCAGCTTCGTTTAATTTCACTCAATACTGTCGCGGGTCTGAAGTCATTTGGCCTCCCCAAGTTACCTGAGGATGTCTTTTGCGAGCACACCATGAGCACTAATTTGCTGCGGCTGCAGGTGTACGATAATGCTAAGTCCCTCCAAAGGTGTGTTACTACTTAATCACTCACGGCATGCGAGCCTTTGCAGTTTAAAGCTATCTTGCTGATCCCTTTCTTTTATTAACTTATTATCAATCTAATGACAAAAGGTCATATATTTGTGTAGGGCGACAGTTCACATTGTTTTCCAAAAGCGCGTTTGCAGATGTACCAACAACAAATTCGCTCCCTTCAAGGATACTACATACATTTATTCCAATTCACTGCTTTTTTGTGGAACGATTTGATTTTATTCTAAAAGCGGCTGTAGTTTTGGCAATCACTACTGGAAACTTCTTTTTCTAAAGCATTGTTTTCAGGTCTACAAAATACCATTCGAATCACCCATCACTTCCACATTTAAGGCAAATTTTACGGTGATTGGTAATTGTGGATAATACGAAACGAAATTCATTCTAGTTATTTTACTATAATTTTCTTCAACTTGTGACACGTTGCATGGCATGGCAAAGTCGGTAACCACTTTTTGAAAAATTTTTTGTAGCTCACACTTACTGCTAATAAGACTCTGATCTTTCTGTGCGAAAATTTGATCGATAAGATGAAGATTGTTTGCGGTTCGATTGACGTTTTTTTTTTTTTAACTCATAACTATTTGCTGCCCCACATATTATACTTGAGATCATTTCATAATATTTATACTGGCGGTCGAAATAATTTTATACATTTATATATTTTTTATTATAATCTGTTTCCAAACTATCTAAAGCACATTATTTTGATAGCTCTCATATTTATGCAAAAGTTGTGCTTAATGCATACATACATACATTATTGTCTTTTTATGATGTTTGTGTGCATAAAGATGCATTGATCCAATGACATCATGAAGCTAGCCACTCTGCCTACATACTTACAAATATATACTATGAACGTGACTACCTCTAATGATTACATGTATGTACATTAGGGCGGGGTACTTTGTTCGGAGCAAATTTTCGTAGAAAGTGTATCGCAAATTCAAATTCGATGATTAATTTTAAGCAGAAATGACGTGTGCTCTCCCAAATTATAATACACTGATTTTTCTTTCAAAAATTGTGAGGGTCAAATGTCATTTTTGGTATATACGGTAGTTTGTTTGTTTTTGCTTAGAATCGAAGAGTTAGAATATGCCATATATTTTTTTCGAAATTAAATTATTCCGCCCTAATATACATACATATGTTTGTATTTATACGCCAGTAGTAAGAACTAAAGAGTATGCATGTATCTTTTTAAGCTTATGAAAAACATTCGCGATTGAAAAGGGTTTTGAGAAATATTAAAATTTTGCAAAATTTTGCATTCACAGGATTGGAATACGATTTGCACCAAATTTTGGGCAAATGTGACACTGCCTCCTTAAGTAGTTGCTAAAGCAGTAGATATGGTCATGAAAAGATTTTTATCGAGCTTACCGAATTAGTGAAGCATGCACTTCCATCACCAACCATAAATACATATATCGTCATGATACTGCTACCCTGAAGCGAAGAGCAAACTTAGGAAGCTGCGGATCTATCTATGTATGTGCATATTTACAGATGGCTACAATTTCCATGATACCTAAGGTTAATGATGGTGTAATATTCTAAGAGTCCGAGGATTTCTTTCAGATTTCACCTCCATTGTTGTGTATTTCAGGCTGAGCTGTTGTCAATCGACAAGGCCGCTGCACTGGTAAATGTGATGGCAATGGTAAATGTGAATGGGAATGATATCTTATGGATGCCAAGAAGCTCTGCAAATCTCTTCAAACGTAATGAGTTAATATTTAGGGTTATTTACCGTCGGAATTTTGGGGGTGCAGCTTGACCTCCTTCATACAGGTGGTAGAAATGCCGGCAGCTTGTTTCGTAGGGAAGAGGTTTAGGCTCCGTACACTGATAGTCGCTTACCCTCGAACACAGGTCATCAATTCCATTGCCCGACAAGCACGCCCAATGTTTGGGCGATTCGGAGAAGGTTCCATTTGCCACTTACGTTTAACAAACGAAACGTATTTCTCATAAAGGGATCATACAAAAAATCAATGTCCTTCAGGTGTTTTTTTCTGAGGATGAGAAATCTGAATTTGAAAAACGTTTAAAGATCGAAT